GGCCTCTGCAAAACCGAAGCCGCCTGACCGCACCGGGAAATTAAAGCTGCTGGGGTGAGCCCGGGCTTGTTTCCCACCTCTCGTGTTCCCCAGCGTTAGTTACGGTGGAGAGAGATGTGAAAACAAAGAGAATCGGTTAATTGTCCTGGCCGTTGCAGTAAATGAATAACCGGGAGGGCTTGAACGGGACCAAGCGCTCCTGTGCGTGACGGTACCTTCGTTGCACTGACGGCCACTTTCTTTCCCTTTAATTCCTGTCTTCCTCAGGGTCCCCTAAATTAGGTGTTCTTACGAACTTGACCTGGAGAGGAGTTGAGGGGATTTATTAAAACTAAAGTGCTGCTGGCTGCTGGGTCCCTTGAGGGAGGGAGGATTGGAAGAACCTCCTCTGGCAGGGACCGAGACTTCAGAGGTCGTGGGACCACACGCAGTTGTGCTTGGGAAGGCGTTCACCTCTCCTCTTGAAAATCAGCGAGCTGTTGAGTAGCTCAGAACAGCGACGCTTAGCTCAGGAATGGCTTTAATGTGACAATTAATAAAATATTATTGCTTTGAAAAGGATGTGGAGGGCACGGAAATTTCATCTGTAGGAATCTGGTTTTGTAATTAAACGTAGAAGTGTCTTGGGAAAAGGAGATGAGCCTTTGTAACGTATCTGCGAGGAGGTTTTCTAATGCTTTTCTGCTCTCTCGAGTGCTAAATGGTATGGAAAGATTAAAACAACCGTTCTTCTTTAATTTATAGACTGGTTAGTGTCTTTGGCAGAAACTTTAGGAAAAGTAATATCAATTAACTTTCAAGTTAGAGGCTTGCTTATATTAGAGGAAAATTGTGCCTGTTTGGTTTTTTTGGCAGGCTAGCCTGTACAGCAGAAAAAGCTTCCGCTGGATTGGTGACCTAGATAGATAATGCTGCCGCAAAACATCCCTGTGCTGTGCAGCAACTGGGAAACCACGCTGCGCTGGTAGCCTGCGGCACGGGGCGAGAGGAAGGCTCCTGCCCCGGGGGCTTCCCACTTTCAGACCCTAAATTGCCTAATAACACGCACACGTCGCGCAGACCGGGGCGTCACTGCGCGTGCGGCGTCTGTCCTGGCATGTTTGTTCAGCTCTTGCTTCTGCGCTTTATATCCTCTCCTGTGTTTACTTTGGTTACCTTGTAGGGCTGGATGGATCCATACGTTGAGGAGGGATGTAAACGATTGCAGAACTGAGTAATAAGGCATTGGGGGTTGGAAACGCAGCAGAAGAGCGATAGTGGAGAGGCAATTTCCTGCGATTGCGGAGGAGAAGGCTCTTACACCGAGGCGAGCGGGAGCAGGGCTAAGCGGGAAGAGCACAGGGCAAGAGGGGGGTTTTAACGCTGAGAAAAAGGAGGGGAATTGTGAGATAAAGGGTTTAAATGTCTAGGAGGGTAACGTTTCCTGTAAGGTAAGCTCCAGGTCTGAAATCCATGCGTGGAGCCCTTCTCTCTGTATTTGGCGAGTTTCAGGTCGGTAATACGGGTGCCTCAAACCTGCCTGTGCTGTCACGCGCAGGGCACGCCGAACGAGCGGCTTCGGCCACCCTGAGCTGCTGCAAGGGGTGGTGGCCAGGGCCACCTCCTTCTGGGCTCCCTCGGTGGAGTGGATTAGGAGAGCCGGGGGCCGCAGGGCTGCAGCAGCCCTGCTCTTTCTGCATCCAGCTGGAACTGCCGGGGAGGACAGGAGTTTGGATGACCGCAGTGACTCCTTTGCTGAGTGAAATCTCTGGCGAGGAAGGGCTGCATTGGGGAATCTTAGGAGAATATGGCTATTCAATTGTAATCTAGTTTCACGTTGTGTATTTTTTTCCTTTTTTTATTACTACGGCTATTTGCATAAAGACATGAGTTTTGTTTCTTTAGAGTTCATCTGCTCCTGCTGCTTTTGCCCTGCTTGAAGCCCCAATCTCCCCGTAGCAGCAACCATTTGTGATATTGTGAAAGGTTATTTGCTTCAAAAAGAGGGGAGGGAGCAGCAGGGAATCAATGAACTCTTATGGCTTTGGTGCTGCTTAGCCGGCCACGTGGACAGGACGAAGAAAAACCTCCCGTGCTGGCCATTGTACCCCAGCTGCAGGAGACCTTCTGCAGCTGAAACACCGTGGTGGAGCAGCAGCAGCATTGCTTATTTATTATAGAGTATGTAAAAGTAGAATAATAAAGGCAGGATGGTGAAAGTGCTGATCTGGGAGCTGGGATTCAGACGGTGATGGAGAAATTCTGAGTGACCCAAAGTAGTTTCTGTATGTCTCTGTCCCTGTGAAGTAGGAAAAGCACGTTTCTGTTGGTTTTCTTGTCTCCATAGCTTGCAAGCTTGAGGAGTCAGAGAGTCCTACACTGTGCCCTGGTAAATTGGGTCTGGGTCTCAGGGAAGGTGTCCAGCCGTTGGTACCACCTCGGTGTGATCATGGTTGGTTCTTGTAAGCGTGTGAGCTCAACTGGTCAGGAAACTCCACTGGCCCCAGGAGAGCCAATGATCCAGACAAACTGCCCTCTCCGCAGCCCTGGAGAGCATGCCTTGCTCCCCTCTGGCTGCAGCCCTCCACGTTACCTAGGCATGGTGTAGCTGTGCTGAGAAACAGCCAGAAAGGCTCTGCTGATGGTGTGGGAGGCTGTGGGCAACGGGTTGATGGCCACCACAAGACCATTTGGGGGAAGTTGGAGGAACGTGTATAAAAGCAGCTGTCCACAATTAGAGGGAGATCTTCCTAAGAAAACCAACCCAAGGAGGAGAGGCAGAGGAATGCTTGTGCTAGCTTTCCCCTTCTGTAAAGATGTGTTAGGTTATCCTTGAAATAAAGCCTGATGGTGCTTCCTTGGTACATACATGGTGTTGAATTAAGCCTGACCCACTGCCAGAGTCTGCCTGTGGCAGGTACAAATCTGAAGTCGGGCCACTGCAGACAAGACAACTGTACCACCAAGGGTGGGGATGACCATGAAGAAAGGCTCCTGTACATCAGTGCAGGGGATGTGGCTGAGAGCATCAGGGATGCAGAGTGTGGGTCTGTGGTGGTGGACACCTCCAGCTGCTCTAGTTCCATCTCTCCGTCATACTGGAAGAGGGGCAGAGTGGAGTGATGAGATTGCTTGTCAGGGAGGGGTTACATCTGCAGGACTCTAGTTTGCCAAAGGTGCAGCCGAAGGGGATGTGATCAAGGCTGTGAAGTGATTAGTGGTGCTGGGAAGTAAATAGTTCATGTGTCCCATGTCACCGGAGCACGGAGGCATGCAATGAAATTTCCAGGCATCAGATTTAAACCCAATGAAAGGAAATACTTTTCCCAGACAGCACAGGCTGAAGCTGTGGAGCTAGTGCTGCAGGACGCTGGGGACGCCAGGGGTGTGGATAGATTCAGAAAAGGCCACCAAGGGCCGTTAAACGTAGGACTGTGGCGATAGAGCCTGTACCGCGGGCGGGCTCGGGGAAGGTGTGAGGGGAGTATTGCTCTCTGCTTGCTCTGGTGTCACTCAGCTCAGCATCTGCTACAAGCTGCTGTCAGCTCCGTCTAGGTAACAGCCTTGTGCTGCTGCAGACTGAGCAACAGCAGCATCTTCTCTTTCCTGCTTTCACAGGAAGTGCAATAAAATCATGAATCTCCTACAACGGGGGATCCAGCACTGTGGGAATTTGACCGAGGAGAATAGCTGACCTTCTGCTCAGATCAGCCTTGCCTGTTGTAGTGTTCAAGCTGTGCGTTGGGCAGGTGGAGGCAAGGCAAAGGATAAGATGTTCAGCCTGAATGGTGCCAGAAGTGAAGGATATGTCCAAGAGCTGTTCCACGAGGAAGCACAGCAGGTATGTCTGAGAGCCATTTCCCTTCATAGCCCAAGTTTCCATCTCTGTGGTCTCTTCACCTCCTCCTGGTCACCTCTGTGGCAGGTGAACAGGACTGAAGTAACAAAACTGCCCTTCTTCTTGCTATGGAAACCTGAGGTGTATTATTTAGAAAGAGAAAGAGGGGGCTTGGTTTCCAGAGGGCAGGAGGGAGCAGTCGCAGTAGGAAACCTGCAGTTTCTGGGGAGTTTCAGGTCTCAGTTCCAGCAGCTCTGAAATTCACCAGTGCCACAAGTACCAGAGTCCTCTGTCTCCTCTAGAAATGTAGTGTCCTGATCAGGGATGACTGTGTGTGATGGGAAAACCATCTTAACCTACTCTGTCAGTCCCAGTTGGTCCAGCCTGGTTTGTCATCTCGTCTAAGAGACTTCTCCAGTGCACTGAGGACCTTGCTTGTCTTGGTGGGGTGCTTGGCAGCAACAGAAGGAGAAGCACAATGTATAGCAGCAGGTTCTGTAAGGGACCTCTTGAATGGTTTTTGGTTCATGTAACATCATCAATGGGGTTAATTTGCTGAGGCTGACCAGGATTCTGTTGCTGCTTATCCTACAAGAATATAAACAGGGTATTACAGGGAACCCTCTCTTCCAGGGCCCAGGGATCCCAACAGCTCTCCTGCCCCCTCATCTTAGAGATGGCTTGCAGCAAAGTGGTGTCTTAGCCATTGTCGGTGGCCATCCCGCTGTTGGTGGCTGGCTGTTGCACCACTTCTGCAGCCTGCCTGTAAAGCACAAGAGGTAAAACTGAAGGCTTTGCTTTCCTCTAGGTATCTCAGATGCAGACCAAGCCCTGGTGGAAGATCCAGCTGTTTGTGTGGGAGCCGGTGCTTTTTGGAACATGGGATGGCGTCTTCACCTCCTGCATGATCAACATTTTTGGAGTGGTTCTTTTCCTGAGGACGGGATGGCTCGTGGTGAGTAAGCGCTGACTTGGTTGAACATGGGAATAGGCGTTTTCCTCCTCACCTCCTTACCTTGTATCTCACTATCAAATCACCCAGGTGATTTGGATTCTGTGCTGCTCATTGTAGGCAGTGAGCTGGTCACGTCCTCTGGTATTTTGCAGCATTTCAAAAAGCTCCATTAAAATGGCAAGCTGAAGTGGTCTTTGTAAGTGATTTCCTATTTTAGCTTTAGGAAACAAAAAGGAAAACACAACAACCAGCGTTGACAATGACCAGGGACACCCTTGTGTTGTACTGTTGAGATGAAATAACCGCTTTTCAGGTAAAGTTACAGCTACTCGTCCATCTTCCCAACACCACTGAAGCAGACCTCTTCCAAACATGTCGATATTGGAGTCCCTGATGTCTTGAATGGCAGTCCTCAGTCAGGTGAAATCGTCATCGCTATCAAAGGGACTTCCACTTGGGAATCCAGAATCGTATCTCACCAAGGGTCAGAGCCTGGAAGAGTGTGTCTGCTCCCCTCCTGATGCAAAACACTGTATTGTCCCTTAAAATTTCCCCTTAGAAAAAGGAAGGCTCCTTCAGGGACGGGTGGAATTTGAGCTTTGGACAGAGTTTGTGTCATAGGCACGCGTTCGTGTCACAGGCACGGTGGACATCTTCCAAAAGGAGCAGGAAGACGCTTGCACTCTGTATTGAAAAAAGCTTCGCTGGAGGCTTTGAGGGGAGCTACAGTCATGGTGGAAGAGTCAGGATGATTTTCTTAGCTCCCTTTTCCTCCTGATCTTATTTCCTCCACATCTCCTTTGAAAGCAAGTTACTGCTGGAATGAACGCAAATAAAAATAAAGCCAGTAAATAAAAGAAAAACTGAAACAGCTGGGAGCTAGCGTTAAAGGAAGGGAGGCGAAGTGGGGTTGGCAGAGAGCTCCCCTGGCAGAGGACAGTCAGATGATGAGCCGTTTGTAGAGTCAGGCTTTCACTATAAATTTCCAGAGCCGGGGCTGGTGAAGCCATGCCAGGGGACCCTAACCTTGCTGAAATGTTCCACAACCTATTGTAACCTCCTTCCAGCACGCATGCATAAATAGGCATCAGTGTTTAATGGGGGCTTTTTCTTCCCACTTTCTCTGCTTGCTGTTGTTGCTGTGGGTCCAGCCTTTCTCCCTGGGCTTTGTGTTAACCCTTTCTTCTGGGGGAACCGTTGGATTGCCCGTTAACTAGCTGCTGCCATAGCCTGGTGCCACCAGCAGATCCTGGAGAAGCCCAAGGCTCTGTGTATGTTTGTGCACGTGTGCTTTTTTCTTGCCTTTTTAACTGAACTATGTCAGATTTATTAACCCTTTTAACCTGAGGGTAAGCTGTTGAAGAAAAAGAACAATTGTCCTTTTAAAAAGGAGTATCAGGTTGTAGTGGGCTGTAGTGCTGACCCCGCCAGCAGCTGCGTTTATAGCAAACCTTGGCTCCGTTCCCCACTGACCAGATAAAGCCCTTGTCAAAGGCAGCGGGATGCTGAACCAAAATAGGATTTTACGATGATAGCAACATCCTGGATATGTTTCTGTTGTTTCACAAAAAAAGAGAAAAGAAAAAAAAAATAATCTGGGATTTCAACCAACCCCAAAGCTGAGAAGCAGCTTTTTAGTGCTGATGCTAAACAAGCCCCATGAAGGCTAGCATGACCTCAGAAACGAGCATTGCAGGAGCAGGAGCAAGGTTGGAAAGGAGGGATGTGGACATGGCCTGTAATATGAGTAAAGGCAGGGGAAGGGAAGCCAAGCCAGATGTTAACGAAGCGCTGGGCACTGGAGGAGATTTCTGATCGCGCAGTTGGAATCATGGTGTGCTGGGCTGAGCGATTTGTCAGCAGGGGAAGGTGGGCTGGAGCACAAGGGAAAACTTTTGACCCTGGAAAATAAATTATAGCCACGTGTGAGAGGGTTGGAAGGTCACAAGCTCAGAAGAGGTGCTTGAATGTTTTTGGAGGTACTAAGCGCCTTCTCTTTCTGAAAATCTGAACTAAATGGACAAACTGAAGTCCCAAAAATAGAGGTGACGCTGGCTCTTAAAGGTGCCAACAGGGACCTGCAGCTGGGTTTGTTCAGAGGCTTTTGCTCTTCACCCCCCCAGTGAGACCATTGCTGGTGCAGCAGCTCCTGCCAGACCCTCCCTCTGCCCCGAGCAGCACGAGGGGTTTTAATCCTCTGTACAAAACTCCCCTGAGTCCCGGGAGAGCGACGGCCACCCGTCACTCGGCGTACGTCCCACAGATAAGGCCCAGCGTGCGCTGGTGCACGAGAGTTATTTATCTTCCACGCCGTGCTGCCCTTGGGGTTTTGTTCTTTGGTATCTGATTGTTTGAGGGGATCAGAGCTTTTAAAGGTAAATGTTCTGAAAAATTAAAATGAGAGCTTGATGCTGTTAATAAATCATGTGTCGCAAATCCCAGAGGTTCAATTTTGAAACTACTTTTTTTAATGAAAGTGGTTTTTTTGGGTTTGGGGTTTTTTTTGAAGCATGTCATTCTGAAGCATGCAAATAGATGGTGATCCCCTGCCCATGGTGGCCGAATCGTTGTTTGACCTCCTTCTTTTTAAACCAGAGGACAAAATCAGTGATTCAGTGAGCCCGGTGATGGAGCAGAACCTGCTCATGCAAAGGTCTGTGCAGCCCCAGGACAAGGATGGTCTTCAAAGGGGCGCTAATAGGAGCTGTAAATTTGGCAATCAGTTACGTTAATTATGTAAGTAGGTGTGTGTGTTGTGTGTTTTCTTTTGATCTGTAATGACTCCAGATTCAGTGGTCACTAGTGACTAGAAGAGGATGGGTCCTTTTTCTGTCTCAGCAGAGTTGATGTGAGTTGATCTTTATTTGATTATTGTTTGTTTTTTTTTTTATTCCAGGGAAACACTGGTATTGTAATGGGCATGTTTCTGGTGTCCTTTGTCATCCTGGTTGCTCTGGTGACGGTCTTATCTGGAATTGGAGTGTGTGAGAAGTGCAGCATCGGAAGTGGAGGAGTATACTCCATGATTTCTACTGTCCTTGGAGGTCAAGTAGGGGGGACCATTGGCCTCCTTTATATTTTTGGCCAGGTAATTAAAAAAAAAAAGTTATTTAAAGAAAACTTAGAAACTTTGCAATGCAGATATTAATCTTGTGCTTTCCCGCCGCAGGAAGTAATGCTCCAAGTAAAATCTGAGTAATGCTCCAGTATGCTGGACAGCATGGGAGAGACCACGGGGAGCATTCAGCCCTGCTCTGCTCCCCAAGAGCAAGCTTGTGCATGGCAATACACCGTCTGGCACGGGTCACAGCGGTGGAGTAACTGGGTGTCTGAACAAGTGAACCGTGCAGGACATGCCCTCCCATCCCAAATTACTCCCACTGCCAGGACATGCTCTTGCTGGCGAAAGACTGAAATTAAAGCGAAGCAGGAGAGGCCAGGGTGGCCACCTAAAGCAGAGCGAGGGGCTGTTGGCCAACAGGTTGGCCTTGGCGTGCTCCCCGTGCCCTTAGGGACCGGGCAAGCCTTGGCTGCTTCTCCATCGGAGCCAGCAGAGGTGGAGCTGGTATGGGAGGAGAGCTGGGCAGCGGTAAGGGCCACTGCTAATTGACTTCTTGAGATCCAAAATTCACAGTTCTGTGTTTTCTGAGAGGCCCTGAGGAGCCATTGTGGTGAAGCACTGAAATGCACAAGTAGTAAACATAAAGAATGGAAAGTAATCTCTTAAACCTGCAGTAACTTAACGCCCTCCCCCCATAAAGATGTTATGAACAGTATAAAATGTGGCGAGCAGAGAAGCATTTTTATTGAGGTTTGTTTTTAACTGACTGGCTTGCAGCAATCTCCGAAAACCCTTAAAAAAACCCCAAACCAAAAATAATCCCCTCTTCTCCTTTCACTCCAGATTAAAAGCAAGTGTCCATAAAATACAAACTGAACGCAGTTACAAGCCAAGATATGGAAATGGGCCACACATGAGAATCCTTCCTGTCATATTTTCCACTCTCACTCTCCGAGCGGACCCTGTCTGGGAAAGCAATCAGGTTGCAGCCTGTCCTGAGGGTCGTAAAATTTGGTCTGCGGCAGCCCCGGCCCCTGCCTAGGAACCCCGTCTGCACGGGGGGCTGCGGGGTTGGGAGCTGGCAGCTCGTTTAGGAACGCTTTGCCTGCTCCTGAAAGCTGATGCCTTTCCCTTCTCTTTGGCCGTGTTTTCTGCCCGACGTGCTTTGCACCAGCTGCACGCTGCTCCCCGGCTACAAGATGCTCACGGAGCACTGTAACCTCTGTCACGAGGCGAGTCCAGCCAGAAATAATGGGGGTCTTCCCCATTCCCTGGTCTGACTGGGACAAGTAGGGGATGACCGGCTGCATGCTGCTGATGCCTTGGGAGACAAGAGGTTGCCCAGTGCCCTGGGGCTGCTGCAGAGAGAGATGGGCTCCTGCTGCATCAGCCAAGGTGAGCTGAGATCTGGCTGGGCTTTGCTGTCCTAGGATGCTCCAGAGCAGAGGCTTAATTGGATTGCCCTAAATAATCCAGCACACATCTACCAGGCCCTACGGAGACCGATGGGTGTTTGGTCACCACAGCTCTAGCCATGAGGCTGGGGTTTGGTGCTCTTCACTGCAGTCTCCTTTGCTGGAGTGGTTCACAGTAAGACCTGTCTGTGCAAGCAGAGGTTTTCCAGGGTCCAGCCCTAAAATCATGAAAGGAAAGACAGCGACCGCACTTGTCTGGGTGTTGAAAAGCATTTGTCTTCCTCACCCTGCAAAGTGTGCAGAAATTGGACTGATTTCTGCAAATGTCAGCCTAGAGCTCAGTTCTCATTCCAGGATGGGTGGTTCGTGAGGAACCAGCCTGTGCTGCGGTGCTGCTGCGCCCTGGCCGTTGCTGTGTGTGAAGCAGTGGGATGTCTGTGGGCACCCAGCTCCTCCGTGCTGCTGCTGCTGCTGCTCGTGGTTCGTCAGAGGAAAGGCTGCAAGGAGGCTTGTGGTGCTGAGGCTGTCAGAGGCTCGCTCTGCTCTGCTCCCTTCAGAGTGTCCTTCCTGCATGTTGTTGTCCTTGGCGTGAAAGGAAAGAAAACTTATTTAGTTAAGAAAGCCTAATTCCTTCAAAAACTGGTGTTGGTCAGGTACAGGGAGTTGGGGTTAGGTGATACTGATTTCTGTCTCCAGGGCTTTTCTTCATGTGAGAGGCAAGAACTGCACCTCATTTTAATGTGTTTACTGGAGTTAGATTCTGTTTGGGGTTTTTGACTCCAGGGCTCAAGTGCAGTTTTTGTGGGTGCCCCAAGTGGAGTTGTGCCGGTTTGGGGTGTTGTCCTCTGCTAGGTCAGGAGAGACCTGTTTTCCAGAGAGAGCACCCTTGTAGGATGTGCGTGGCCCACTCAGTGGTAGTGTAGACCATGCTAAACACGAGTAAACAAGAATATATCTACTTATTTGGGGACTACCTTGGAGAGTCTGAGACTTTTCTGGTGGAGACATTCATGATGGGGCTACCAGCGAGGAGAGAGACTTTCAGGGTGTAGTTCACCCGATCTGTGCTAGGTGTCTGTCTGTGATGGAAGCGAAAACTTCTCCAGGATCTCCAAGCTGTAGGTCTCTGACTCTGAACAGGTGAATCCCATGCACCTTGCTTGCCAAAAACTGCGCGTGAACCCGCTGCACCTGGGTATGGGTCGGGTTGTCCTGAACACCCTCAGTGGAGCAGTGCTGGGTCGGCCCAAGGGGGATCTGCAGCGAAGGAGGGGTCTGCTCTGACTCTTGCTGGCATGGGTGGGGGTTTTCTCCCTTCCAGTTGTGTGGGAGCTGTTCTGCACATCCATCGTTCCTGGATGGGGGTAGTGGGGTGGCAGGACTCAAGGGTTGTTGCTGAAATGTCAGCTAGTGGGAACCTCTGGAGGGAAGTGTCCTGGCGTGGAGGATTGCTGCTCCGCAGTGGGGTCTGAGCCCTGAATCTGTGCCGCAGATGTCCCGTCCTGCAGACGCTCAGCCACCCAGGGCAGAACGCGTGTCCTGCCCTGCAGCAAGACAAACAAGCAGCTTTCCCAGGAGCTCAGGGGGCACGGCTTGCACAATGTGCTCTCCTCAAAAGTGCAGGCTCCGTTCCAGCAACGAGATGGGGAGCTGGTGAAACATCAGACATTACATCCAAGCTAAACACGGAGTTAAAAATAACCCCTGGGAGGCAACGAAGGGGGAAACAAACTGCCGTTCTTCAGGCAGGTGTTGAACCGGGACCCTTTCCTTCAGAGAAAGAGAAGAAGGGAAGAAACTTAGAGGTTGACTCATTCTTCTCTCCTTCGGAGAAGCCAGTGTGGTTTCTCCTGGAGCATTAATGGAGGGTAGATTTTAAAGCCAGTGGAAGGTTGCTGGGCTGCTGGCCCTAGCACCCAGCCTGCTCTGTTTACCCAGGCAGGAGATATGCTGCCCTGGCAGTGTGCTGACTTACAGCGATAAGGTTCAGTCCCTGTAGGCCAGAGTAACGTTAAAGATTGTATTGTGACAGCAAACGTCTGTCTGTCTGTCTGAACAGAGACCCCCCCCCCAGCCCGGCATGGGGGCTGTGGACGGGGATCCCTTGTTCTCCCACGGGGCACTCACAGAGCTCTGTCCTTCAGTGCGTTGCAGGTGCCATGTACATCACTGGCTTTGCGGAGTCCATCGCAGATGTCCTGAGCCTCAGCAACATCTGGGCAGTGCGCGGGATCTCCTTGGCTGTCCTGCTGGGCCTGCTGGGGATCAACCTGGCTGGGGTGAAGTGGATCATCAGGCTCCAGCTCCTGCTGCTCTTCCTGCTGGCTGTCTCGACGCTGGACTTTGTCATCGGGTCCTTTACACACCTTGATCCAGGTAAAACTGGGGTTTGATCACATCGGGGTCAGGAGGTGTTAATCCCCCGGGGTTTCCTCCTTAGGTGTCTTTGTGAAGTTGCACATCTGGGCAGATGTAGAGTTCAGTGCTTCCAGATGTGTCCCCTATCCTTTGGTACCAATCTTGTGGAGACAACGTGTAATTTTGCAAGGAATAAGTATTTGCAGAGAATGACTGAAGATTTCTTATTAATCAAGGTGTTTAACCTCAGGAATCGAGCTCTCGGTGTGTGTGCTTGTTACACTTGTACTGCACTCGGAGCTTTTCTAACAACAGAGAGCGGCTGTGTTTGCAGTCGCTCCTTGTAGCCTTCTGCTGTCTAACTCTGTGTTAAGCATAGTGCCCACGAAAATGGGGGATTGTGACTTTGCGTTAAGGAGATCTTCTCCCCAGAGACCCCTGAGGTCACGTAGACCCTGGCTGTGGTGGGTTGTGCCGCCAGCGCTGGCCCCAGGCTGCACACCGCTGGATTTGCTGCCCAGGGCCACGTTGGGGAGCTGAGGAGGGAGCTGGGTGGGCTGGGGCATGGGCTGGGGCAGGCGGCTGCTGGGGCTGCAAGGAGCCGCAGGTACAAGTTTCTCTCATTAACCTTCCCCAGCCTGACTTCAGCCTGCAGCGGTGGCTCCAGTTTGGGCAAGGCAGGGGTTCGGGGCTCCCACCTGCAGCCCTACTTGCACCCCAAGCCCCCTTCCCCTCCCTCCATCCTCATCGCTGAGAGATGTTTGCAGGGAAACGCATCTCAAGACACGGGGAGTTGTGGTGGAAGGGGTCCATGAGTGCAACAGCGGCCACTCCAGCAATAACGAAGTGTAATTAGCTGAGTAAACAGAAGGTGTCACCTTTTTCTTGCCTTCCTCTGTGTCCAGCAGCACCTTAGGGGGTTACAAGCGACACGCTAAAGTCAGTTTAAAGGAAAGATCTTCGGTTTTGATTTAGTTAGGATTCAGCTGCTGAGTGGGGCGGCAAGAGGTGAGTCCCGTAGATGTTCGTAGTGCCGGCGGTGTGGCTGTCTTTTCACGCTGCTGTATTATTTTGTGCTGCCGGTACAGTGTGCGAGGACGGTGGGGTGGGGGCAGGAGCTGCTGCACCAGCAGCTGCTCCCCTTCTCCAAGAGAGCCTTGTGGAAAGGCATTTGCATTTTATATTTAGTGTATAAGAAATGCCCCAAATGGAAGCCGGTAAAAGTCTCAGCAGACACTTGCAAATGAGAACGAAGCGAGGTGGGTTGTGCTCCATGTGGTGTGTTTTGCAGAGAAAGCAACTGACCTGCTCCAAACAGCTGCGTTTCATAGGAAGTTGTTTTCTAAAGGAAACGGGGGGTTGCACTTTGGTTGTGCTCGGAGGAGACCTTCGATGCAGACCTAGAGACCTTTCTAATAGTAGAGAGAAGACAAATACTTGGGGTAAGACCTGACAGCAGGAGGAGAGAATTAGAGAAATCAGGAAACGTGCCCAAGCTGAGGTCAACGTAGTCGTCTTTGCTTTCCTCCATTGCCGAGCACTGTGTCATTTCTTCTGATAGAAAATAGAGAAAGAAAGGGAAACGAGGCGTTTGAGCATTGCAGATGCTGCAGTTTAGCTGGGGCAGGCTAGAGAGAGGAGGGTTTCCAGCGCGTGGAAGAACATCGGGCTGATGGTGGCCAGATCCAAGCCCCAAACACCAGTACCCCAGAGCAGCGCTGCCCGTATGGTGGGACCTGCGGCCGTAAGGCTGGCTGGGGAGAGCTGTGGGTTTCTCTGCTTTTGCAGACTGCTTCCGTATGAGAGAACTGGCTCAGCCAGGCTGAATGGTTGGTTCCTCCCAAGTCCTGCATTTCCCCAGAAGGCCTCTGAGTGGTGTGTCAGCACCAACGGTGAGCGCTGGGCTTCAAGAAGCCTCCTCACGCTGTCTTGCACGCTTTCTGCGTGGCATGGATGGATGCTTGTCTCTTGGGTGCGATTGCAAATGTCAGCAAAGCATCCCTCCGGCAAGAAAGCTGCGGGTGGGATGTGCAGGTGTCAGTGAAGCTCCATCCTCCAGAGGCGGCTGATGGCAATGGCGGAGTGCAGTGCGTCTGAGCCCAGCACCTGGGGAAGCATTTGAGAGCCTTTTGGGATGGACAGGCAACTGATCAGCTCTCTGCAGCCTTCACGTGTGTGCAGTTTTGGGTTTGGCTCTTCGGCTGCAGCGGTGACTGAGATGTGAAGGGCAACGTGCAGGGAGAGGTAATTTTTGAGGATGGACCTGTGAGCTGGAAAGATTTCATCTGACGTCTGGGTTGCTTCTTTGTTTTGTGACAGGTTTACGGGGTTTCAGTTCACAGCCTCAGGTCTCTGTCTCCGAACCTGTAAAATGGGCCTTGTGCTCCTGCCGTGGCAGCCTTGTCCCACACGTAACATTTCCAAGTGCTGCGCACATACCAAAGGGCTGCGCATCTGCCAAGCAGCAGTTATTTGGA